CAATAATAAATATGCAAAGGGGAGTTGTTTAATTCATATCACCTCATGAATATGCAGGAGGTGGGTGTTTAATTCAAATCACCTCATGAATATTATTAAGCTTGGAAAACCTTTTAAAATACTTTCATGTTTGTTTGATGTCACTATGATGCCATGGATATTGTTTGTCCTGTCAATTTCATGCATAATCTGAAAATTAATAAACACACAAACAAACAAACAAAAAACAAAAGATTTTTGATGTGATGCATTGAGGGTGCTATAACACAACAATGGAGGGCGCAAGTATCCTATGGTTGTTCAAAGCCTTGTTCTAAAAATATTACAAAGTGAAACAAATACTGGAAGCCATGAGCTAATAATATTAGTCTGAGGGGTGAAATTTGGAGAGAAAAAAATTGCACACAGAAAATGTTAAAAATAATATCCTACAGGAAAAGTTAAAAAAAAAAAATTACCCTAATAAGTATTTAAAAAAATCCCACATATACTTGAGAGAAAAGCAATAAAAAAAATGTACAGCGACATCATCATAAAAAAAAGATAGCTCAAAACTAGGAAAACAAATAATTTGCAGTGTAGTTCTACCAATCCCCCATAGTTCTAAAGGTCAACCCCTGAATTATTGTAATAACTTACATTATTGTTATCTGTACAGAACACCGGTCTGACCATTGCTCCAGCACCACACTGTTCATCCACTTTAATTGGCAGACATCGAGTGAATTCTCCCACATACCAAAAGTAGCAAATAGGTGAATCACATGGTCTAGCTTCAACCAGTGGTGGACAGGATCTCCCACCATGCTGTGCATGCTGCACAACTGTTCTTGTACGACTAGAATGGCCTGTCAAAAACCAAAATAAGAATGTTTAGACAGACACATGACTATATATGCAAAACGTCACACCAAAATTAAACAGAAAGAATTAACAAGTCATTGAAAATGACATAGTCTTTGTTGGACCAAAGTCATTCCTTATGAACAGAGTACAAGACATCCCAAAGAAAAAGGTGGATTAAATGTGAAAGAATGATCATTTCATGCAATTGCAAAAGGAAAGCAATGATCTATTTAAATGTGTCAATTGAAGTTAGTATTGTTAGTATGATGGAAAATTGCAGAGGTTGTTACAGTTCATGCTTATGGTATGATGGTAAATGCATTTATGTCTTTACTATGTATTATGGCTGACACTTATATAATAGACAGGAATTAAACTGTGTATTTGAGATTGGTCATGCCAAAGATACAGACCTGAAACAGCATTCGTTAAAACAAAATGGCTGCCAGTCAACCATGCCAGCCATTTTGAATGTGATCTAAAGTGTGATAACTAAGATCACTGGCAAGCTTCAATAATATGATTTATCAATAATAAATATTACCAATAAATAAAATTTAAACACGAAGAAAAATCAACAATGTGGTGTTACAAGACAATACACTGTGCATATTAGGCGCAGTAGTCTACATTCTTGTACATTCTATGGCATTCTGTCAGGCATTTAGTAATTGCGTGGTACTGCACAGGGACATAGCGCCCTCTAGGATTTATCTGCCCACAACTTGCAGGCATCGTAATTTTATCGAGTGAAATACCCAGAAATGAAATGAGTTTTATTTTTTAAAATATTTGCCATATGCAGCATGTGACTTGTAAAATGAGTAATACCACAAATCACCCAAACACAAATTTCATTTACTGCAGTTTCATTTGAATATTTATATACCCTTGACATTTTGAGCAAAACGATATACTAGTGATACATGTACGAGAATTCTACAAAAATGTGAGTTTCACACAGACCTCTAATGCTTCAGGAGTATTGACTGGGTGAATACTGAAAAAATTGTATATTCGCTGGATTCTATTTTCACTGGATATTTTTTTTTCAGCTAAGATTAGTTCTAAGCGAAAATTTAGTATTTTACAGTATTTTGCAGTATTCTCATGATAATATTAAAAACTAATGAAAAAGGAAGGATGGGAGGGGTTGAGGGGATGATGCAGGAGGGTGGGGGTATACTTACATTACTACAGTATGACCATGCATAACATGCTTTAATGAAACCAAGTGAGAAAATCGAGTTAATTCACCACGCACCTTTATCTTTTTTGTTAATTTTATCCCCTAGCGCACATTTATTTATCAAACACATACCCCACTCTGACCACGGTGACACAAGACAGTCCATAGAACAAGGAACATGGCATTCTCGTACATACGATGGCTGCGGCGGTGAACACAAACCATTATCAACAGGACGATAATCTATGAATAGAGAATATTAGGTTATTTGACAATAAATATACTGTGTCAAAACATAACATACTATCAATGAATGTTGACAGGGTATTACTTGATATCTAAATAATATTGTTGACAACATTGTTGACAACTTCATTATTCAATGGCGAGTCAACAATGTTTACAACTTGATTACTCAATGGCGAGTCAACAATGTTGACAACTTGATTACTCAATGTCCAGTCACCAATGTTGACAACTTGATTACCCAATGTCAAGTCACCGATGTTGACAATTTGATTACTCAATGTCCAGTCAACAATGTTGACAACTTGATTACTCAATGATAAGTCAACAATGTTGACAACTTGATTACTCAATGTCCAGTCAGCAATGTTGACAACTTGATTACTCAATGATAAGTCAACAATATTGACAACTTGATTACTCAATGTCCAGTCAACAATGTTGACAACTTGATTACTCAATGTCCAGTCAACAATGTTGACAACTTGATTACTCAATGTCCAGTCAACAATGTTGACAACTTGATTACTCAATGTCCAGTCAGCAATGTTGACAACTTGATTACTCAATGTCCAGTCAACAATGTTGACAACTTGATTACTCAATGTCCAGTCAGCAATGTTGACAACTTGATTACTCAATGTCCAGTCAGCAATGTTGACAACTTGATTACTCAATGTCCAGTCAACAATGTTGACAACTTGATTACTCAATGTCCAGTCAGCAATGTTGACAACTTGATTACTCAATGTCCAGTCAGCATTGTTGATAAGTTTTATATTATTATGAACAGAAAAAACAGCCACATGTATTTTTATAAAAGGTCATACATAATATTGACTTTTTGTATTTGAATTCATTCCAACAATTACAATTTCCCTTACTAGGGTTAAAAAACATCAGTAACATTGAACTTATCTTCATACCACCAAATGATACACATTTTGTCCAAACTGGCTACTAGCAGGCCAATAGGCCAATTCTAATTATTTGTCGTATTTTGGGTATAAAACAGTAAAATTAAACAGAAAACACTATACCAGCAAATTGCTGATGTATGGGAAGCATTTGATGGGTACTTCCTATTCCATGAAGATTATCACATACCTGTATCATTCACTTGAGTACAGAATACTTCTCTTCTCTGTAAACCTCCTCCACACAGGGTACCATTAATATTCAGATGTTTGATTTCGTGTCTGGATATTATATCACGTGTACTACATTCTCCGTAAGCTGATACATGCCACGTGTATCTAGAGAACAAAACATAAAACACCATGACATGTATTAACAGTTTTCAGTTGTTGATTTATAGTTCTCTAATTTTATAGTGAACCTCCACCTCATTCAGTGATATGTCCACATTGTAATGAACTTACCGTGTCATGTGATGGGTTCACCTTGTCATGTGACAAGTCCATATTATCATGTGATATATTCACCTTGTCAAGTGACAGTGTCGTCTTGTCATGTTGAAAGTTCATCAAGTTACGTGATACCACCACTTTGTCATGTGATAGTGTCGTCTTGTCATGTGATTGTGTCGTCTTGTCACGTGATTGTGTCGTCTTGTCATGTGATTGTGTCGTCTCGTCATGTGATAGTGTCGTCTTGTCATGTGAAAAGTCTACCTTGTCATGTGAAAAGTCTACCTTGTCATGTGAAAAGTCCACCTCGTCATGTGAAAAGTCCACCTTGTCATGTGAAAAGTCCACCTTGTCATGTGAAAAGTCCACCTTGTCATGTGAAAAGTCCACCTTGTCATGTGAAAAGTCCACCTTGTCATGCGAGCGCAAGTACAAGTCCATATTAACATGTAATATATTAACCTTGCCAAGGGATAGTTGTAGAGTATGCATTATGCAAATGAGTTCACATCTCATTGAAGTCTGTATTTGACCTCTATGGTGTATTGTATTCACTACCTGAGCCATGGTGTGATGACTGCACCTATAGTTGTGTGTAATAAACCAATCCTGTGTAATCCTCTACCTGGTCTAACCATCCTTGATTCTACAATAGTGTCGTCTTGTCATGTGATGGGTCCACCTTGTCATGTGACAGATTTGTGTCATGTGACAGGTCCATAGTGTCATGTTACTGGTCCACTGAGTCATGTGACATGTCCAGCTTGTCACGTGACATTGTCAGCTTTTTATTCATAGGTTACTCAAATAATAATCAAATGCCAATTTTGTCTCACCTTGGACATGGAATAAGAGCACCATTGGAAGTAGACGTGCAACTCTGAACATCATGCAACTGTGGACAATGAATTCCATCTCCTAATGGCAACAAAGTAACATCTCGATAACGCATCCTGTATCCCATGGATGTTCCAGAATCCGGTGTACAGGTCTGGGAACAAGCATTCCAATCAGACCATTCTGTGACTTTACAATCCTGAGCCAGAACACATGACTGATAGAGTGGAATATTGTCATGGTTACTATTATCAAAACATAATCTGAAAAATAAAGATAGACTCACAATTGACATAAAAATGTATGGCAATAAGCTGTAAAAAAAAAAACTCACTTATTCCATCTAACCACAAATTTTTATCTTCAATCTGCATGAACCATCTTTCTCTCTCCCACATAATTGTTTTTTAGAAGATGATTCCGAACAAAATATTAGGAACCAGCATTTCTTTCAGGTACCATGGACGTAAAATATATAATATATAATATATAATTATACTACTGCAGTATGGGATGAGTCACATAGCCCGGGTAGATTGAATTTTCAAAACTTCATGAGCAGAACATTTCCATTGCTTAAACCCAGTACATACATCTGTACAAATACTAGTTTAATCCGGACATGCATAATGCAGATTGGAGAACATAACACTGTAGCAAGGACTTACTTTTTACTGACGCTTTTTCCATCACTACGCGTACACGTCACCTCACGTTTCTGATACCCAATCACAGGACGATTCAAACTAGCAACACTGCTATTCGTGAAGTCTATGTTAGGTGCACACGAACTCCATGGGCTAATTTTAGTTTTGTATGAATACTGATGTTTTTCCATACATGTTGGAAGCTCATTGCACGGTTTGATCTCTGCCAAGCGAGGGCATTCTTTTCCTCCATACATTGAAGGTACAAGGACATGTCTAGTACGTATCTGTGTACCATTCCCACACGTTCTTGTACATTCGCTCCAGTCGCTATAATGCGACACTATACATTCCTGGGGGCACGGGATGAGGCAACTTTGTGACAAGGCAGGCTTGGATGAGAAATGCTCACAGAAGTCATCGTCAACAAGTCCATTTGCATCATTCTGTTCTATTACAATGTTCCTACTTTTCAACAAGCACATGACAGTTCTGGTTTGCGTTCCTAGCGACTTGGAACCACATACTTCATTGGATGGTATCTGGTAATCAAGCGGCTTTTCACATTTGTTCCATTCTCCGATTTCCCATTCAAACAAATGTCTATGTTCATCACATACTTTAAAGCATCTTCTTTGCATACTGGGTTTTGTTGCTGCATCACAGTTGGATTTTAATGTGTCCCTCCCATCTCTATGGATACACCAAGCTGACCGTGTTTGGGTTCCACCATAGCCACAGTGAATGTAATGACATGTTCCCCAAGAACCTGTAAAATAACAAAAAAGACAAAGTTAAACACGAACAATCTATACAAATTTAGCCAATGAACCAACACTGATTGCTAAGCACTTCGAAAGCAATGAACCATGAGAAATTCATGTACCCATTACAAAAAAAAAAAAAATCTGACAACTAAGCAATGCATCACTATATAGCACTTTCCCGGAAATAGCAAAACTGGGGTGCAAAAATACGTCTGCTTTGTCATAGCATAAAATACAAACATGTCAGTTTGCTGATAGTCCATAGAACGTTTTTTTTGTGACGTCGTTTGGTACACCCAGAAACACAATATCACGCGTGCAATTTTACGTTACACCCCAAAACGGCATGCACGCACATGCAAAACATCGCATCTTCAACTTCCGGAATAGTTGTCTATAAAAATCCTACTCTTCATGCCAGATTTCCTTGATTTTCACCATATGCCGCTCAAAAAATCCAGATAAGAAATTATGGTCACAAAAATACATTTTTGCAAACAAAAAAACTGTCCAACACCTGTGAAAATTGTGATTTTTTTATAGCAATTTATCGTTGCTCCCTAGGGTAATAATGTTTTGTACACATCGTGAGAAAATCATATGTTGTTATTGAGATGAGAAAGTGAAATATTGGGAAATTCTGACAAATACTATAATTTATTTATTTTTTAAATAATGCTTTAACATAAATACTTCCAAAAAAGCAAAAATATTTTGCCGATTTCCAAAAAAATATTTTGTACTGAGTAAAAAAGGCCAAAGGTCATTTCTAAATAGACAAGTATGTATTAAACACATTTACAACAAACAAAAATTGACACAATTGTTCATGGAGTGAATGCCTCAAAAACGATTGTCTATAATTGACTATAATTAATTGTCTATAAATCTATGTAGACAAGTCACTGAAGTGGCTCTGGTTGTTTTTAATAAATATTTTCACCAGCAGATTTTCTTTGACAGGAATATCGAATATAGCATGCTTCACTAAAACAAGCTATGTCATTCTGGAAAGCGGTATGTAACACGCGTTCTGATAGGTCGCTGATCTTGAACACAATTGCATACAGGTACATGTACATGGTCAGATATAGTGAGAGAAGTGTTCACCAGTGATCACAAACAAGAGATCCAAGCTTCTACTGACATCACATGTTAAAGCAGATTGCTGCAAAATTCGCAGCTTACAAAATATATTTACAAAGATATTTATCATAATTAAGTGTTTATCAATGATTATACTATTTATGATGAAAAAATTACATCGTTTGAATTTTGTAATCACGGTTCTGGAAAAACAATGTTATTCCAAACAGAATACTATAATGAATAGACCACCGCAATGCAACCACTTTTGTTCACATAAATGTATGTTTCATCAAAAGGAATAAAACCAACACAATAAAATTCACTAAACTCGCATCATTCATGTGTTCTACTCGACTAGAATTCATTTATGACGAAATATAAAAGACAGATATTAGTATTGCTAAGCCTGGGGCTATCCAGGTCTTTGAATGAATTTTCACTTCCCAGGCATATATAAAGTAATCTATGAAAGGAAGGCAGACACATCAATCATCAATAAAAGCTGATGTAACTATACTGATCTGTGTTATAAAAGGAGCAATATTCATGGGAGTTCTGTATTTGGATATGTCACATGCAATCATATAACCTAGTTTT